ACTCTTCGCCCCGACCACTCTGATTATTGGAGATTCCATCGTGAGACACGTCCGCTTCTTTAACGCGGTCACTCGCTGTATTCCCGGAGCTACTGTACCAGACCTGCTCATACGTCTCCCTCCTCTGCTTCAGTCCCTGCCTGATACCGTTTCCAAGGTAGTCGTGCATGTGGGAATTAACGACATGAAACTTCAGCAGTCAGAAGTCACGAAGAAACATTTTATGGATCTGTTCCACCTCCTTCAATCCTCCGGACTATCTGTTTTTATTTCTGGTCCAATCCAGACTGTAAACAGAGGTGACTGCCTCTACAGTCGTGTTGTGGCGCTGCATGTGTGGCTTCAGGCTACATGCAGCTCTTTTAACTTTGTCTTTGTGAATAACTTTGCCCTTTTCTGGAAACGTTACGAAGCCTATCGTCCAGACGGATTACACCCAAACAGATACGGTAGCAGCCTGTTGATGGATTACATACGTTATGTTGTTCAGCGTTCCCCGAGGGGGGCGTGACTGTTTACATCTGAGCCCCCTCGGACCCCACCGCACTCCCCCGCCTCCTGCTCACCAGCACCGGGTGAGTACAACGGTGCAAACACTGCTCCCTGTCCGTCTGGCAGTGCATTACCAGTCCAAACACTGAACTGTGCTGACTCCCTTCTGACTCTGGGAGCTAAAGAACAACAAGGGTTTTCACATTTTAGGCCAATTGAGACTGTGTGTGTTCCTCGCACCAGCTCAAAAATGTTTTTAAATTCTAAAAAACGAAATCAAAACAGGACAGCAGTTAGACGGTCCAACTCTGCAAATCTAATTTCTGTTCCCTGTAGAAATCAATCAACCACATTAATCGACTCTGACGTTATTTTTAAACTTGCTATGCTTAATGTCAGATCTCTATGTAACAAATCATTTTTAATTAATAATTTTATCACTTCTTATGATCTTGATTTTATGCTTATGGCTGAAACATGGCTGGACCAAAATACAGGAAATGCAGTTCTAATAGAAGCAACACCACCCAATTTTAAATTCGAATCCGAAATACGAGAAAACAAAAGGGGGGGAGGCATAGCTGCAGTTTTTAGAGAGCACTTTGTCTCCCATAGAATGCCCCTTGGAAATTTTTCATCGTTTGAGTATATTTCTTTTAAAATGGAACAAAAGCAATCTTCTACTCTTTTCATTGTCCTGTACAGGCCACCACAGTCATGTTGCGATTTTATTGACCATTTTACTGAACTACTTTCATTCGTGTGCACAGATTTTGATAGTTTAGTTATTACAGGTGATTTTAATGTACATGTTGATAATGTTGATGACAGAAATGCAAAGGAGCTGGTTTCTGTATTTGAGACCTTTGGTTTCATTCAGCACGTGAGTGGCCCCACCCACAGCAGGGGGCACACTCTTGACCTGCTAATTACAAAGGGGGTTAATGTATCAAATGTTAATGTAGTTGATGTTGCTTTGTCAGATCATTTTTGTGTATTTTTTGACATGTGTTTTGCTAGCAAACCACCAGCTGAATTTACAACTGTTAGAAGAAGACACATACATGAAAACACAAGTGAACTGTTCATGGGAATGCTAAATTTTGAGAAAACTCCATGCTCTACTGTTGATGAATTGTATAACTCTGTCACCACCAGTGTTCTGACTGTTCTGGACGCCATTGCTCCTGTGACGGTTAAAATAGTTACCAGTAAGAAAAAGGCCCCATGGACTAAGGCAGACTCGGTTAGGGCACAGAAGCAAGAGTGCCGGAGGGCCGAACGGAAGTGGCGAAAGTCCAATTTCCAGGGCGATTATGAAATCTTTAAAGATGAGTTGGGTGAATTTAACCGGGTTCTACGTAGAACAAGAGAAATGTATTTTTCTGACATTATTGGAGGTTGCAGTAACAATTTTCGTGTTATGTTTTCAACAGTTGGTAGATTAACGAACCCCCCTGTAAAGTTGCCCCTAGAATTTTCCTCTAAATCTAGGTGTAATGAGTTCGCACAGTTTTTCGATGACAAAGTACAAGGAATCAAAAACACTATCACCTCCACAGCACGTATAACAATGCAACAGCCAGAGAAGCTTTTTGAGCTAACTCACTTTGCACCTGTGGATACTGAAACTGTCAAAAAGATAATCATGAGTCTGAGCTCCTCCACATGTAGCCTGGATATATTGCCCTCTAAATTTCTGAAGTCCGTCCTGAGCAGTTTGTTACCTTCACTGACACAAATAGTAAACATGTCTCTGTCGTCAGGAACATTTCCTATGGCCCTAAAAACAGCAGTCATAAGACCTCTCCTAAAAAAGAGCAGTCTGGATCCTGCGGGACTTCAAAATTATCGCCCCATATCGAATCTGCCATTTATTGGAAAAATTCTTGAAAAAGTGGCCTCCCAACAACTTACTGAATTTTTAACAATGAATAATTCTTTTGATATGTTCCAGTCTGGGTTTAGACCCCACCACAGCACTGAGACCGCTCTAGTGAAGGTAACAAACGACATTCGACTTCACACTGATGCAGGTAAAGTCACAGTTTTGGTCATGTTAGATCTTAGTGCCGCGTTCGACACTGTCGACCATGAGATCCTCATGCAGAGACTGGAGGACTGGGCTGGTGTCACTGGCACAGCCCTAGACTGGTTTAGGTCTTACCTGGAGGATAGGAAGTACTCTGTGGAGATTGGAGACTGCGTCTCAGATGATGTGGCCCTGACCTGTGGTGTACCACAGGGGTCGATCCTGGGACCTCTCCTATTTAATCTCTACATGCTGCCGTTAGGTCAGTTAATACAAAGAAACAAAGTGTCCTACCACAATTACGCTGACGACACTCAGATCTACGTCTCACTGACTGCAGGAGAACATGGACCACTGGATTTGCTCCTTCACTGTATCCAACAGATCAGTGACTGGATGCAAAATAATTTCCTCCAGCTAAATACAGACAAAACCGAAATCATTGTCTTTGGTCCCCAGAAACAAAGAGAGGGCGTCATTTGTCAACTTCAGTCTCTCTCCCTACTTCCTTCAGACAAGGTCAGAAATTTGGGGGTAATACTGGACTCAGACCTAAATTTCAATAGCCACATAAAATCAATAACATCAACAGCTTTTTACCATCTGAAGAACATTGCCAAAGTTAGAAATATAGTGTCCAGGGCAGACTTGGAGATTCTTGTCCACGCATTTGTCTCCAGCAGGCTAGACTACTGCAATGGCCTGCTTACAGGTCTGTCCAAACAGACCTGTAAGCAGCTGCAGTACATCCAAAATGCAGCAGCTAGAGTCCTGACAGGAACCAGGAAGTATGACCATATTAGTCCGGTCCTCAGGTCTCTGCACTGGCTTCCTGTGGCTCAAAGAATAGATTTTAAAACGGCTCTGCTTGTGTACAAGTCTCTCCATGGCCTTGCACCAGAATACATTAGTGACATGTTGGTGTCATATGAACCGGCCCGGACTCTGAGGAGCACAGGGACTGGCCTCCTGCTGGTGCCCAGAGTGAGAACCAAACATGGGGAGGCTGCGTTTCAGATCCATGCAGCTAAGATCTGGAACAATCTCCCTGAAAATGTGAGGGAGGCGTCTACTCTGTCAATGTTCAAATCCAGGTTAAAGACTGTTCTGTTTGCCTGTGCATACAACTGAAGGATTTTATCTCCATTTTTAATGCACTGCTGTCATTTATTTATTTTTTTAAATTTCTTGTGTAATTTTGAAAGTTTTAATGGTTTTATTCTTTTGTGTGATTTTAATGTTTTAATTGTGTTTTAATCTTTTGTGTGATTTTAATGTTTTAATTGTGATTCTGGTGTTTGTTTTATGTGATGATTTGTGATGTGGACTGTGAAGCGCTTTGTGTTGCCATGTGTATGAAAGGCGCTCTACAAATAAACTTTGATTGATTGATTGATAACATAATTCCATCTGTCTGGAAATCTGCTTTTGTCCTTCCTTTATTCAAGGGTGGCGATCCAGCAGTTCTTACCAATTATAGGCCAATTTCAAATGTGTTTTATCCAAGATTCTAGAGACTCTTATTTGTGACCAGATGAAAAAGTTTCTCTACTCAAATGAAATCATTTCTCAATACCAATCAGGTTTCAGAAAAAGGCACAGCACTATCACAGCAGCAAAGAAGGTGGTGAATGACATCATTGTAGCACTTGACAAAAAGCAGTTCTGTGCTTCTCTTTTTATTGATCTCTCAAAAGCTTTTGACACTGTAGACCATGCTATTTTAACACGCAGGCTACTTCTTATTGGATTGTCGGACAATGCAGTGGCTTGGTTTGCAAATTATTTACAAAAAAGGACCCAGTGTATAAAACATGAGGACCTTTGCTCTGAATTTGTTACTGTCCACAAGGGGGTGCCACAGGGATCTGTTTTGGGGCCCCTTTTATTAATCTTGTACATCAACAATGTTGAACAAGATGTTCTTGATGCAAACATACATTTTTATGCTGATGTTACTATTATTTATTGCGTTGGATCATCACTTGAGCAGGCTGTTAATTCTCTGCAGAAAGCCTTTGTTTCTGTTCAGAATTCTTTTTTTAATCTAAAACTACGTCTCAATGCTGACAAGACAAAGCTAATGCTTTTTTCAAAACATAAGAAGCTACCTCCAGCTCCCCCAGTGGTGTCCACTCTTGAGGGGAATGTCATTGAAGTGGTGCATGAATACAAATACCTAGGAGTTATAATTGATGACGCCCTCACTCGATTGTTTTTTTGTATGTAATTGTATCTATCTGTGGTGTTTATGTGTAACTTTGCTGCCTCTTGGCCAGGACTCCCTTGAAAAATAGATTCTTAATCTCAATGGGATTTTTCCTGGTTAAATAAAGGTTAAATAAAAAAAAAAAAAAATCATTTTAATTAACGCGTTAAAGTCCGGCCCTAATAATGAGACAGCAAGGCAATACAAAAACTTAAACAAGTGTCCATATCAGTCATCACTACAGTAGACTGTTGTTTTTGCCCACAGGCCAGGCCGGCTTCCCCGTCTACAAGTATGTTCCTTATGGGCCAGTGGACGAGGTGATGCCTTACCTATCGAGGCGGGCCCAGGAGAACCGTGGCTTCATGCAGGGGGCCCATAAAGAGCGCGCACTGCTGTGGAAGGAGCTGATACGCAGGGTGGGCTCCGGACAGCTCTTCCACAAGCCTGTCTACTGAGACCACAGCCATGACCCTGAATACTGTCCTTTTATCATATGAGGTGGATGGGTACTGCTTTGGTGTTAGCTCTATTTAGCTATTGAACGTTTCTGATTGTCAAGTATTCTCCTGCTAATTTTTACAGTTTTTTTTGTGTGGAAAAAAAGGAAGTGTATCTTGATGTTAAATGCACAATCAGAATAGAACAGTTGTTTCTATTCTTTGTGGTATAGGGGCAATTATGTTAGCACTTAAGCCTGACCCACATTTAGGCAGTAATGTTAAACTGTCCATAACTTCCAAATGGTTTGGCACTTAAATGATTAGCAATGCCATTTTTATTAATACATATAGGAATATGGATTTACTCTATGAAAAAGGTAAATACCTTAATTGAATGTACTACTATATTTCACATTTTATTTCAGTGGACAGGTTTTTTCTTTAAGTAAACATCAGGTTTAATTTCCTTATAGCTGGATTTTTTGTAAATATATTCAATACAAAGTACTGCTGAGTTGGTAATTTAATGAGCCAAGTCTAATTTCTGGCCTAAAAAAAAACTATCTCTAAACAAAAATAAACGGCACGGCACACCACACTTGCTTCTGTAAGTGTACTGTAGATTATATTTGAGACAAAGCCGGAGCAATTTTAACGTGCTTAATTGTTAACTGGCTACATGTTTTCAACAGGTTGCTGGCAGAAGTCACTTTAGTTTTTGGTAATGAGGGTATAGTATGAAATGATGATAAAACGTGTTTAATGAGTTACTCTGGAGGCAGAACACAAGAAAGGAACAAGTGCGTTGAGATCCACTACTTTTTCTACGTTTACAATGACCTTACTTTATCAACTGCCCAAGAATGTATCGGAACAGTTACTTTTCCTTAGTGCTCTGTATCTCTCTGTGTCATGAGGCTAGACATGCATCTTCAAGCATTCCTCATTTAATGTCTATAAAGCTCCCATATCTATCAAGGAGGGCACCTTTACTACTCCGAGAGGACTCCCTTAAATGCCACGCAGAGCAGCTCAGTGTCGCTTTTTATCACCCCATTTATTTGCAATGAGACAAGAAAAAGAAAAAATAACAGGCTTGATTTAAATGGCAGTAAAGGATAGTCAATATTCCCTGCCGGGGCTGATATTTTTAAGGGGTTTGAGAAAGCAGACATCCCCTGGAGGAAGGCGAGTCGCATCTGTTGTGCTTGTGTGGTCAGCTTTATGGTATATTCATGGAGAAAATACAGCTTTATACATATATAGTATAACTCATGTACATAAGATTTACTGATGGTATTTTCTTACAGAGAAATGCAGTATTACAGGAATGTGTGTATTTCACTGTTTTGTGTTGTTTAGGGAAATATGTGCTATTTGTGAACACTGCATATTAACTGCAGTAGCTATCAAATGCTTTGGTAAATATTGAATGTTCATTATTTATCTGGGATTATAAAAAAAAAAAAAAATGAATAAATTGTGAATGTTTGTCTTCTAGTTGTGTTCCTATAATATGTTTATCTGTATTGTTCACTTGTATATGAGTTCATATTACTGTATGACTAAATCTACAAATATTTCAGTAAGTGAAAAATCTTACTGAAATTTAGTAAAAGCCTTTTGAAGAATTCAATATAGTATATCTGAAAAAAACACCTATCATTAAGTGCACAATAATGCTGTTTTTTTTATTATCAAAAGAAATACTCACACATAAACATGCAAACATGTAATGACCCTAATGGTCATTACCACCGCTCTGGCTGTGCACCACTCTCCTCTCCTCCACCAGGACATGACATGGACCAGTACTTGAGGCACGACAGGGTTCTGACCAGGCAAAGCTATCATTGAGTGATGGTGGAATACCACAGAATTTCTAATGGTGGTGCCTCAAGGTAGCTATATACCAAAGGGTAAAACAAAGCCCCTTCAAAAATATATGGGACACATCATGGTATGGTTTCAAAAAAACATCCAAAAACTTTAAAGCTGGGGTACCTGACTTTCAAACCATGTGTTTTATTGTTTTAACTTATTACTGATAGTTTTTACTGCTGTGGTTGTACGTTATGTTCTATTTAAACACATCCAAACAACAATCAAAGACATATTGGCTTATTCCAACGAAGTCAATGTTCTAAGAAGTGCAATGGACCCTTTTCACATTTGGACACGTCACTCACTGGTTCCTTCATGAGCACAGGTCGTCAGCTCTGGAGTTCTCTGCGTTTTAGATCTTTCAGTTTAAACATTTGGTCATTGAGTCAGATCCTCTTGATGGTGCCAGAGATAAGTCAGAGAGAAACAGATCAAACGTATTGCATTAACGCTGCAATGTCCACAAGTATTATTATTATCATAATAATACGACAATTCATTCATACAATTCATGGTGGTACGGTCAGCTACTACTGTAGCCATAGCTGCCCTGGGACAGACTACAGAGGCTGCCAACCTGAGTCGGCCCCTCTAACCACCACATACAGACACACCCATTCATACTTGTGGGTGAAGTGTCTTGCTAAAGAACACAACGCACTTTACAGCCGCAGTCGTCCCACTGTGGCGCCTGACATTACCCTGTACCATCAGAGGCAGCGAGCACTAGCTGTAGCCGTTAGCCTCATGACCAAACGGACACAATATTCATGAGTATTAAATACTCGGAGCAGGTGAGCATGTGGAGGTTTAACTCCAGTGACTCTGTGAGGGATGTGAGTCAGGATCCAATGTGCCGTTTGTAGTGAAAAGGGTCGAGGGAAGGTTTTTGGGGGGGGGGCGAGGTGTGGGTCTGCTGCTTGGAGGGATTCTTCTTCAGAAAGTTCAGTTCATATTTTAGGCGTAGGTTCTCATCTACGGCCTCTTTCATTACCTCCTTGAATGTGCTTATCCGCTCTTCCATTTCTGCAATAACAAAGTTGTTCAGGACAAAGTTCTCTCTAAACTCCTTCATCTGAGCAGTTTTTTCCTCCAGCTCATAATTACCTTTCCTCAGGTGCATCTCCTGGTCCTGCATTTTGGTCTTCAGCTCATCAATATAAAGGCCAGCATCTAGAAGACAAGAGTTTATTACTTCTTATTTGTTCATGTTTTCTTCTTCAATTTTTTAGAGATCTGTGTCCATACCGTTCAACATGGAGTCCTTCCGTCGGCAGTCATCTTCATGACGCTTCTCCACAGTCCTCAGAGTCGTTTTTACGGACTGCAGTTCTGTGAACAAGGCTTGTTTCTCCTCCTTTAGGATCTTGGAGAAGTTGGTGACCTCCTTGTTCCTTTCCTCACACCTGGCACAAGCCTCTTTCAGGTTCCACACCTCACCCTTTGTCGTATGCAGCTCTGCAGTGTATTTTTGCAGAGAAAGTTGAAGGCTGGTTTTCTCCTGGAGGGTGGTGTTGAGTCGATGCTGGATGAAAGCGGTGGAATCCAAAAAGTTCTTCTCCAGAGCAGATTTCTCCAGAGCAGATTTCTCCATCTGGAGTTGTGTCACCTGCTCCTTCAGCTTTTGTTTTTCCGCCTGTTGAGCCTCCATTTCTGCAATAACAGTTTTTCAGGACTAAGTTCTCTCTCAACTCTTCCATCTCCTTCAGAAGCCTGAGCAATTCTTCTTCCAACTCATAATTATCTTTCCTCAGGTGCATTTTGGTCTTCAGCTCCTTAATATAATGTTCAGCATCTATAAGACAAGAGTTCATTACTTCTAATGTGTTCATGTTTTCTTCTTTAACTTTTGAGAGATGTGTGTCCATACCTTTAATGATGGAGTCCTTCCTTCGCCTGTCCTCTTCAGCACGTTTCTCCAAAGTCCTCAGAGTCTGCTGTACGGTCTGAAGCTCTGTGGACAAGTCCTGTTTCTCCTTATTCAGAGTCTGCTGTACGGTCTGCAGCTCTGCGGTGGTTTGTTGCAGAGAGAGTTTAAGGCTGATTTTCTCCTGGAGTTTGGTGTCTAGTTGGTGCTGGTTGAAAGTGGTGGAATCCAAAAATTCCTTCTCCAGAGCAGATTTCTCCATTTGCAGCTGTGTCGCCTGCTCCTTCAGTCTGCATGATTCTTCTGCTTGAGCCTTGACCAGGTCGCATCTTTCCTCCTTCAGTTTCTCGACCTCAGCCAACAAAGCCTGGTTTGATTCTACTGCAAGAACCAAATTGTCCTCCATGGCTTTGTAAAGCTCCTTTTTACTTCTGTTTTTTCTAAAACACCACATCTTGTCAGTGTTGTATCGATATACTTTGCTTTGTCAATCTGGGCTTTGATCCTCGGATTTTCCTCTGGTTTGGTTAAGTGACTTGTCTTGCCTTTCTTGACACACAAACTTTTCAGAGCCATAGAACGTTCCGCTGCGACAAACACGATGACGTCGCCATGTTCGGTAGCCATGGAAGATTCCATTTCATGTTCAAGAAAAGTCTCAAAAACACTTTGGATCACAAATGGCATGTAAATATTCATTCATTCATTCCTTCATTTTCTACCCCTTTATTAATCTATTTTCAGATGTTATACTTGTTTCTTTGATGCTAGAGTTAGAGATTTTGTTTTATTTTAGGTATTGCTCACTATATCCTGTGCTGCGTGCTCCTCATTCCTGATGTTCTGTAACTTGTGAGACACTGAAAATTCCCGGCTGTGGGACGAATAAAAGATCTCTTAATAAGTAAGTAAGTAAGTATTGTTTATTTATATACCGCCTTTCACAGACCAGAGTCACAAAGCGGTTTATAATTGTTTTATATATATACATATATTTTTTTTTGGGGGCATTTTTCCTCTCATTCCACACAGCGATGGGAGTGGGGTCGCCAGTACAGGAGGCGCATGGGGTGTGTCAATGAGAGCTCCCACCCGATGCTCTTAGCACCAGTCCCTTGCTGATCCTACTGCCGGTGGTGGACTCACAGGAAGATGGCTGCTGCAAAGACACGGCCTTGGTGTTTCAGCAGGGGCTTCGGGAAAAGTGGGGTTAAGTGTCTTGCCCAAGGACACAACTGCAGCAGACATCAACGGGAGCAGTTGGAGCGGGTCTCGTGAGAGGATCAAACCCACGGCCAATGCTCTACCAACTGAGCTACTGTCGCCCCCATGTAAATATGTTATTTTGAAATAAATTCCGCTGTATGGTGCAACATATACTTACAGATAAATTAAAATGCATTTGCTTTGTCTGCATTTGATCCAGATGCCACCAGGCACTAGGGTCATGAGCAGTGAGCAGCAAGATTTTTTCATGTTTAAAATTAATTTATTGTTTAAGAGCCAGTTTTGTGCGGACGGTGATCGTGTTCAATGTCTCTCTGTCCCAATCAGGTGCATGTATTTAATGCCAATTGGAATTATTATAAATGTCAAAAATACATTAAATCTGCTGTCATCTTTGGAACAGTCTCCCAGATGACTCGAGGTCCGCTGCAAAAGTTCATAAGAACTTTTAATATATATATTTTTTTCAAATGCTTTCGGTGTCTGCAACATGAAAGTGTGAAAAACAAATCAAACTAAAGAAAACAGTCAATCACACTCAGCTGGCAGCATTTAAGCACTGCTGCCAAGCAATGTCATAGATCTTCATAGAGCAGTCATAGAGCGATCATAGATAGATAGAAGCCTCCTCCTCCACTCACCACCTTGTCAGCCAAAACAACTCTTCAACCCTTCCCAAGGGTCTAGACCCGAGGGACTTCATCTCATAATCTCTGTTTTTATCTCCCTAACTGCAATAATCATGCAGTTCCCTGCTCCGGTCTAAGCGCCAAATCATATCACCTTATTACGTGTACAGAATGCAATAAATGTAATTCTCGCATTTTATGTCTGCAAAGTATTTTTTGCTGATTTATGCAGTGTTACGGACAAAGTCCTTTTGGTTTTGGTGTTTTGTTTCTCCTTGCCTCCACCTCTCAGACCCTCCCACCTCCAGCTGAGTGACGTCCCACTCACACCTGTGGGTAATCTGCTGGGAGGTATAAAGGGCCGGGATCGAGACCAGGCTGGCTCTCTCTGCAACTTCGACCGTCCGTTGGACCTCACCTCTTTTGGAGCATTTTGTTTTGTGATTGAACAGTGGTTCTTTTGCACCTCTTTTAATAAACCTTTTACTTTTTGGACCTCCGCCTCCCGTCTGTTCCACACCCGGTTCTAATTTTGTTATTGAGCCACACTCCTAGACACCACCACCTTGTGGCTCGTAATAGTTGGGGGCTCGTCCGGGATCTGTGGAACTGCGGTGGGTGCACGGGAGTCATCTGTGCGCTCTTGGTGAGTCGTGTGTGTGTGTGTGCATTTGGCATTGTGATCTAAATTGACCCAGCTAGACTAGGGGGGTGTCCAGCTTGGTTGATTTATTCGCCATTCCTTCGGGCATCCGTTTTTTGTTTTAGTTTATTATTTTCGGGACGAATCCTGGGCGGAGTGGATTCTCTGATGGGGGCTGCACGCCTCGAGCCCGGCAAGTCCCAGAAGATATTTAGGTTAAGTTTTTCCTGAGTAGGAGTCTGGGTCAATACCTGTGTTTGCACTGATTTGGTTTTGTTAAGGCACCCTGCATAACCTCTTTTCACCCGTGTGCGAGTGTGAGTGTGTGTGTGCGTAAGCTTTGAGCGCAGCTGTGTGCGGGCGCGTGCTTTGCACCTCCCAGGAGGCGGGTCGAGTGGACGGTGCCATCAGGTGTTCCAGTTGTGAGTGGGATCAACTGATCAGCCCGGTGAGTGATGGCTACGTTTGATTTGGAAGCATTTGTGGCTGAGCCAACGCACGTGGCGTTGGAGTTGTGTAGAAAAGTAGATTTGCTGGAGATAGCGCGACACTATGCGATCCCTGTGTCCCCTGCGTTACGCGTGGGTGAGTTGAGGGAGGCTATACTGGCAGAGTTGGTGGCCAACGGGGTTGTGGTATTGCCTGTGTCGAGTGATCCAGTGGCAGGAGCGGCAGTGGGAGATGCAGTGGTGTCCCCCGTGCGTCCTGGAGTAGAGCGCGTGGAGCAGCCACAGGTGGGCTCTCCTTCTGCGCCGTTTGAAGAGACTGAGGTGAAGTCTCTGAGCCTGGTTCATTCTCCCCGTGATGTGCTCGTGGATGTGCGCGTTGCTCGTTTAAAGTACGAGAGGGAGAAGGAGGAGCGTGAGTTTCAGCTAAAGCGTGAGATTGCGTTAAAGCGTATTGAAGCGGAGGCTGTTACTGCTCGCGAAGTGGCCTTTAAAAAGATAGAGGCTGACGCTGCGCTTAGGATGCGGCAATTGGAGTTGCAATCAGCGGGTCGCAGTCCAGTTTCCTCGTCACCTGTGGTCAGTGCGCCTGAGTTTGACGTGACTCAAAATATCCCGCTTGTCCCAACTTTCCGTGAGACTGAGGTTGAGTCCAATTTTTGTGTTTTTGAGCGCATTGCAGGGGCATTACACTGGCCTAGGGATGTGTGGGCAATCCTTCTGCAGTGCAACCTAAGTGGCAGGGCGTCTGAAGCGTGTGCATCTTTGGCAGTCTCAGACATGTTGGACTATGACTGTGTGAAAGGTGCTATTTTGCGGTTCTATGAGTCGTGGCCCAAGGCTCATAGTGCTTACGTTAGTCCCGCGCACGTAGTTGGAGCTTTCCCTATAGCTGTTCGTGACCAGTCTCCAATTGATGGGGTGGAGTCCATCATGTGGGATGACAGTGCAGGTGGAAAAGTGTGTCCCATGAGCGTTTTGACCCACGCTCAGTCTGAAAGAGGGAGGCAGAGTGACGTTGGTAATTCTGTGCTTGCTCCTGATTTTGCAGGTGTTGGTGCGCCCTCGTGTGGACGGACTGATAACACCACAGTTTACATTGAGAAGCCAGAGTTAATCACTTCTGTGTCCCCTCCACCCACAGATAAGAAAGCTGGTCGCAAGTTCAGTCTGGCTGGACTTGTGTTAAGTTGCGGCATACCTGGACCAACCAAACTGCTTGACGAGGTCTTGACGAGGTCTCACCAAAATCAGACAGTTTGACCCTGGTGTGTTTCGGTTTTTGTCCTTCATGGGCATGGCGTTGGCGTTGGCAATGCTGCTGGCTCTGCAGCGCCTACATTTTTTGTTGGGTCGCCTTGTGTCCCGGTAACTTTCTTTTCAGACCACAACACCCTGGTTTCCCTGGCCCTGATGTCCAACCCGGATCAACGGCTGCTGCAGGGGCGCTGCTGACTGTAGACTACACCGTTCGTATCAGCACTGGAGTGGAAAGGACCATGTTGTGGCTGAGGCCTCTTGGCGTCACAGGGGACTTGCATTACCACTTGGGTGGTGGTGGTGGCACCCATATCCTTTCCCACTTTGTGAATTAGTTTGTGTTTTACAGAAGAACCTGTTTTCCTGTTAACGAGGAGTAGAGCTTAGTTTTTATGGGGGGAGGTGTTACGGACAAAGTCCTTTTGGTTTTGGTGTTTTGTTTCTCCTTGCCTCCACCTCTCAGACCCTCCCACCTCCAGCTGAGTGACGTCCCACTCACACCTGTGGGTAATCTGCTGGGAGGTATAAAGGGCCGGGATCGAGACCAGGCTCTCTCTGCAACTTCGACCGTCCGTTGGACCTCACCTCTTTTGGAGCATTTTGTTTTGTGATTGAACAGTGGTTCTTTTGCACCTCTTTTAATAAACCTTTTACTTTTTGGACCTCCGCCTCCCGTCTCTGTTCCACACCCGGTTCTAATTTTGTTATTGAGCCACACTCCTAGACACCACCACCTTGTGGCTCGTAATATGCAGTAACAGATTACTATAACCTACTACTGAATACAACTCTACTAACCTCTTGTCTGTCGAGTCGTCTCACCAAATATAAAATAAACTTCTATAAATGATATACTATGTTATCATCCGAGCTGGGGGTACTGCAGAAGCATACGTATGGGTCCAGCATGGGTGCCCACACTTTGTCAAACCAAAATTGACATACAGTAACCAAATTGAGCCATGATCTATCCAAGATTTATGTGGGGGTGTTACAATTCCGAACATTCAAACATTGGATTCGATTTACGATGCATGATATGCTTATAAGCTTAAACTTGTAACATTTACTTAATAGTATACATACATCTGCCACGCAATTTACAGTATTTTCTTGTGTAGTTCCTCTCATTGAAAATTTCACTTCCTACTAAACTAATTCCTAGTTTTCCACCGTCTACCTTGACCATCCACGTGCTCGAGCATTTTCTGTTCTTACTTTAAATTATGTTTAAAATACGCATTGTGCAGAAGCAATGTTTGCATATGTAACCGCCCTTAGTTTAACTTTATTAAGGTTTATGTTTATTAAGGAAAACCCCTTGAGATGAATCATCTCATTTTCGAGGGGGTCCTAAACATAAGTGCAAGAGTCAATTAAAAAAATAAAAAATAATAAACAAATGCTCCTTTGCACCCCACTCCTCCCCTCTGCTAAAATTAAACATTTATAAAAGGACAAAGTAAAACTATTAATGACGCAGAACATTAGTGACATAAACGAGGAGTTTCAACTTAAATAAACCAAAATACAGAATGGATCGTGTGGATGTGGGGAGTTTATTATATCTGCGACCAACTTCTTTACAAACTCTTGGAACAGAAAAGGTGAGACAATCAGAGCTTTGGAGTGGAAAAGGTGTAGAGACAGGGGGTCAACAAACTGTTTTAAATACTGCGGACAACTAAAATGAATACATTTGAATAATAAGTGCATCCAGTGAAGGTGACGTCGGTTGTGAGGTTGAAGCTAGTGAAGTTTCTCGTACAGAGTGCAGTGATGTGTGCGATATGGACATTTGAGAATGAATCTACAGACAGTTAAAAAGTGTATTGAGTGGTTTGAGAAGGGAGGGAAATGTGTTTTGATAAATGACGTCAGCGTAATCGATGATGGGAAGAACCAGTTGTGTAATGATGCGTTTTCTGACATTGAGGGTAAAGCAGTGGGATGATCGGAATAATGGGCCCATTGTGGCGTACGTTCTTTTGATGATGGAGTTGATGTGGTGTTTGAAGTTAAGTTTGGGGTCTAGCCAGAGGCCGAGATATTTGATTGTGTCTGCATTGAGCATTTTGGAACCGTCGTTAAAGTGAATATGGAGATCTGGGGAGTGGAGTAATTTGTAATGAGAGCCAAACAGTATACAGCAAGATTTTTTCATGTTTAAAATTAATTTATTGTTTGAAAGCCAGGTTTGTATGGAGTTAAAATTGATTTGCAATAGATTTTGGAGAGATGTGATGTCAGAGTTTGAATTGTAAATAACGGTGTCATCGGCGTAGATATTTATGGAGCAGTTGGAAATGACGTTAGGGAGATCATTATTAACAATGGAAAAAAGAAGGGGGCCTAATGTGGAACCCTGTGGAACACCTTTTTCAACAATAGTTCTCCCTGATTGTACACCATGTGAAACAACGTATTGAGATCGACAGTGAAGATATGAATTGAACCAAAGAATAGCATTTCTGTCGAGGCCTATTGCATAGAGTTTGTCAAGTAATAAATAGTGGTCAATGAGATCAAAGGCTTTGGACAGATCCAGGAAAATAGAGCCCACAAACATATTTTTATCAAAAGAACAAAAAACATTTTTGAATTTTAATAATGCAGTAGTGGTAGAAAAACCTGAACAAAAACCGGACTGAAAAGGAGAAAGTATTGAATTCATTCATGTAATGATTTAACTGTTGGAATATTATTTTTTCAAAAAGCTTAGCAGCTGCACAGATGATGGATATTGGCTATTAGTTGTTTAGGTCTGAGGGATCACCTCCTTTAAAAACAGGAGTGACTCTGGCAGTTTTAAAAATTGATGGAATTGTTGAGGTTTTTATTGACAGATTAAAAATGTCGGATAAAGGAAACATTAGGACATGAGCAGCAATTTTCAGAAACTTAACTTCAAGATTGTCTGGACCAGCTCCGCAGTTTGGTTTTAATTCATTTAAACAAGTATACACAGTAAGTGGAGATATTTTAGAAAACGAGAAAGAAAGACCAGCACGAGATGAATTTTGGCAGTCACCAGACACAGAGTAGTTAGGGATTATTTTGTTTATGGAGGAGAAATGTTCAATAAATGCTTGAGATATTTTGATTGGATCTGATATATTTTCATTGTTTACAACTACATGTTCAGTCAGTTTTTAGATTTGTTTAAGACCAGATCAAGTTGGGCCCAGAATTTTTTTGGGTTGTTCATGTTTTGAGCAAACCCCTCTTAGTGCTTAATCATTTACATTTTCAGCAAAACGCCACATTAGAGAAAGACCCGCAGATAAGGGCATTGACACAGGCATAATTCCATTTTGACCCAGAGGCATAAGTCCATTCTGTCATGTCATTTTCATAGCCGAAGCATGGAAACAGGTTACTCAACAGGGTCCATGAAAATGCTGGTGGACAAGGGAACTCCATCCATACTCTGCCTTCTCCAGCTGCAGACGGACTACCAACTCACGAGTAATTCATAAAATGCAATAGTAGATATTGAGCCAATTGCTGAGTGACTAACTTAGGTCAAAGTTGCAACAAACTGGCGAGGAGTGACGATAGAGCTGCTCCTCTTGTTCTGGTGGTGATAATGCAGAACCCAGGTGTGTTGGCAGGTGTGATGATTGGAGTGGCAGAGAACAGCAGGCATAAGGGGAAGGGAAGGAGGAGGGCAGGGGAAGGAAAGGGGGAGGGCATTATAGGAGCAGATCATGACACTTGCATTACGGCAGAAGTATCTTTGCATGACAATAATTACATGGAAAGGGCCAACAAACACCGGCAGAACCATACTGCCTGGTAGGCCATAATACTAGGCCATAGGGTTAGCACATACATTGTTGCACATACATGATTCGACTGGCTTATTGCTTGATCTCCTCAGCTGCAGCCCTTTGTGTAAACGGCGCAAAGGATCGAGCCGACCAACTCAATGGGAAAACGTATGTGGCGCGTGAATGTTGTGTATTAATTCTGGTTTGTCATGAGAGCTACAAACCCTGACGTTGTGATCAGGTAGATCGCATTTCTGTATTGTTTACCCCATATGGTCACTAGCAGGTTTGGATTGTATCTGTAATTCTTTTATTAAGATAATATTATTGCCATCATTATACAATCATTATATATCATCAAAAGTTTCTGGAGGTGGACTTTTGTTCATATGGATACTATTTTTCATACCATGAAGTGGGAGATTATTCTGTAACTGGAGGAACAGTAAACAAAATACAATATGAGCCAGGAGATGCAAGCCTGCTCTGTTAGATTACATGCATGTGTGTGCATAATTATTAGATCGAGCCAATACGTTGTATTGGGGAGGTCTATTGTTATTCGCCGGTTTCAGACTATTATTTTTTTTTTTCCGCCAAAACAATTCAATTTTTGACCCTGAAGACATGCACGAAAGTCTGCACATGGGGGGGTCTAAAACGGCCGGTTTGGCAAAAAAGTTTATAAAACAAATGTTTTGAGATTGTCCGACAAAAGGCAACTCGATAGCGCCACCTTGAAAACTCAAAATTTGCCATTTCTATTGGAGGCATAATTGCATATTTTGGAGTAGGTGCACGAAATTCGGACGAGTGATAGATCTCTATGAGACGAGCATAAAAGCCGGTCTGAGCACATGTCTGGGACCAACAGGAAGTCGGCCATGATGGGCTGGAATTTGACTTTTCGTTTTTGGAGACCTTAAAGTTGAAGTTATACAATCATCAAAAAAAAGTTGGAAATTCTTCACCGTTTTTGTCCCTCGCCATGGCGAATAAGGCCTTCGTTTTGACCATTTTCACTGAGCCCTGAGGGCCACAGGCTCAGACCTACAGAGCTGAGACTCACATCAGTAATATTAGGTTATGGCCTGAACGCAATGACACTATTTATTTGCCCAATATGAGTTCTTTAGCGCCACCTGTCGGAAAGTAATACAGTAGGGCACTGGTGCTCGGATCGGCCCGAAAATCACTGAGTGTAATCTCTGAACCAAGACAAGCAAAACATTACATCACGCAAAAGTTGTAAGTGCCACACCTGACCACTGGGGGCGCCGCAAAGTGGATGAATGAGCTTTTTGGGGCAAAATGTTTGTCAGATGAGGCTACAAATACATTCACAAATGCAGCGTATGACTCTGAACACAACGATATGCAACAAACAACTCTGAGTGCAACAGCGCCACCTACATGCAGTTCAAGGTGATGTGTTTTTGGATTCACACTAGTCCCTGGATTTTCATCATACAGACTTCTACCATGTAATTTCTCAATCAGGATGGATTGAAGTTGTGCAATCATCTCGAAAAAGTTAGAAATACTGTTAGCAGCAACAGTAGGGGAAGAGGGAAGTAACATAAAACCAAGGATGTAATAATGGTAAATTAGATGGCCTTTTAATAAAACAGGCAAAAGGGGTAACAGTTTGTACTGGACAGCGTCAGAGTCAAATAAAACACACAAAAACACAGGGTTCTCAAACAAACACAAGCACAGAGCCACACAGGCAACCTTAAGCTTAATCTTTAGCACACACAGACAACACGTTCTCTCAGAACGGTGGCAGACAAGACACTGATTCAAGCCGCCCCGCACAGAAGGAGCAGACTCGTTTTCAAGGCTGGTGCTGATTAGCCGCAGCGATGGATTGGCCAGACGTGGAAAGCGCGACCCAATCTCCGAACGGAAGGCAGAACTGGAAAGCAGCGTGCGTAGCCGGTGCACCATGCAGCGGGGCGGAGCCTGAGCAGAACAGCAGCACAACACAGGAGGGAGGGAAACGGGTGTACGACGCGGCCCAGCGCCAGCGGCCGTAACACTCCCCCCCTTAAAATACAAGCCATCTCATCAAAGTAAAATCAGAGCAAATTTGTGAATTACTCACCCGAACACAGAATCACAGACTTTGCCTCTCTCGTGGCGAATCCCTCAAAGGAACACACAGATCAAGGCCGCGAACTGAAACTTGCAGAGCGAGAGCCAAAACGCTTTCCATGGTGCTGACAGTGCCGCTCACCTGACCGAAGCCTGGTGGCCCTAGCCTTGTGCTTCCGTACAGAAGTGGCGGGTGGAGTAAAGTGCGGCGGTACCCGTGGTTTCACTTGACTGGCGGGCAGACTACAACCGCACTGTTCTGGAGGACGGGTGTGCGCCACAGCACAACCCGTGGGCATCTGACGATCAGAGGCACACACAAGCGGGGACAGAACCGCATCCAACAGGGGAGGAAACACCATGCCCCCTGCCAAATCATTACATAAAATCATGTCTACATTTTCAATGGGTAGCGCAGGGACCACAGCTAACGGAAACTTTCCTGTAACGAGGTTTGACTGGACATGAACAAAGTGAACGGGCCGCGGGCGGTAGCCCATCTCAACTCCCCGTAACACACTCCTGTAACCACAGTAAGAGCGGTATGAAAACGGGAGAGCACTGGCCAAAATCAAGCTCTGGGAACCGCCAGTGTCTCGTAGGATACGGATGGGACGTTGATCTGGTCCTTCGCCATTCAGTGATACTAGGCCCTGTGATATGAAAGACTCAAAACAGGAGCCGTGGTTTTGGACAGTATTGGGTCCTGACTTATGACTTACAGATTGAACTAGAAACCGTTGCAATGGCTGAAGCCATTGCGATTGACTGCGAAACAGATCTAATGTGGAATTTAGCTGAAAAATCCTTGCTGAAAAAAACTGTTAAAATACTTTAAACATCTTTGAAACTCCTGAAGTATTTGAAGCTCCTGATATCCTTTAAACTGTTATCCTTTATACTGGTTTACATGTAAAAACCCCTATTAAGTTGCATTATACTGGTTTACATGGAAAAATCCCCATTAAGTTGCATTATACTGGTTTACATGTAAAAAACCCTATTAAGTTGCATTATACTGGTTTACATGTAAAAATCCCTATTAAGTTGCATTATACTGGTTTACATGTAAAAACCCCTATTAAGTTCCATTATACTGGTTTACATGTAAAAAACCCCTATTAAGTTGCATTATACTGGTTTACATGTAAAAACCCCTATTAAGTTGCATTATACTGGTTTACATGGAAAAATCCCCATTAAGTTGCATTATACTGGTTTACATGAAAAAAACCCTATTAAGTGGCATTATACTGGTTTACATGAAAAAAACCCTATTAAGTTGCATTATACTGGTTTACATGGAAAAATCCCTATTAAGTTGCATTATACTGGTTTACATGGAAAAACCCCTATTAAGTTGCATTATACTGGTTTACATGGAAAAATCCCCATTAAGTTGCATTATACTGGTTTACATGTAAAAACCCCTATTAAGTTGCATTATACTGGTTTACATGGAAAAATCCCTATTAAGTTGCATTATACTGGTTTACATGTAAAAAACCCTATTAAGTTGCATTATACTGGTTTACATGTAAAAACCCCTATTAAGTTGCATTATACTGGTTTACATGGAAAAATCCCCATTAAGTTGCATTATACTGGTTTACATGAAAAAAACCCTATTAAGTGGCATTATACTGGTTTACATGAAAAAACCCTATTAAGTTGCATTATACTGGTTTACATGGAAAAAACCCTATTAAGTTGCATTATACTGGTTTACATGGAAAAACCCCTATTAAGTTGCATTATACTGGTTTACATGGAAAAATCCCCATTAAGTTGCATTATACTGGTTTACATGTAAAAACCCCTATTAAGTTGCATTATACTGGTTTACATGGAAAAATCCCTATTAAGTTGCATTATACTGGTTTACATGGAAAAAACCCTATTAAGTTGCATTATACTGGTTTACATGTAAAAAACCCTATTAAGTTGCATTATACTGGTTTACATGGAAAAATCCCTATTAAGTTGCATTATACTGGTTTACATGGAAAAATCCCCATTAAGTTGCATTATACTGGTTTACATGAAAAAAAACCCTATTAAGTTGCATTATACTGGTTTACATGAAAAAACCCTATTAAGTTGCATTATACTGGTTTACATGGAAAAATCCCTATTAAGTTGCATTATACTGGTTTACATGGAAAAATCCCTATTAGGTTGCATGATTACACTGAAGTCCTTGAAACTGCTGAAGTCCTTGAAACTGCTGAAGTCCTTGAAACTGCTGAAGTCCTTGAAACTGTTGAAGTCCTTGAAACTCTTGAAATCTTGAAACTGCTGAAATCCTTGAAACTGTTGAATCCTTGAAACTGTTGAATCATTGAAACTGTAGAAATGTCTGAAAGAGCTGAAGTCCTATTAAAATGCATGGGCCTATTAAAATGCATTGCAGAATTCTCAATGCAGATTTTTGTCCGATTGCGGAAAAACCGGAAATCGCTGAAGTCCCAAAAGTAATAGCAATAATCTCCCAAACATGTGGAACGTTTTGATGTATAACTTGTGGAAATTGTTGAAAATGTGAAAGCTGTGAAACGTGTCAAAAAAATGACGGAATAAAGAAATACAAAACCAATGGTTGACTGCGGAAGGTTCCGCAGTCAATCAATTAACCCAATGCTCTGAACGTTTGGAGCTGAACACTCTTCCTTTTGTCTGAGAGTAGGGCAGTCTGCGATTACGTGTCCGGGCTCGCGGCAGTAGAAGCAGACTCTGTCCCTTGTGGAGGTTCCAGGAGAGCGTGGACGATCAGGCTGCACAGACACACGCGTCTCATTGATTGACTGCGGAACCTTCCGCAGTCAACCATTGGTTTTGTATTTCTTTATTCCGTCATTTTTTTTGACACGTTTCACAGCTTTCACATTTTCAACAATTTCCACAAGTTATACATCAAAACGTTCCACATGTTTGGGAGATTATTGCTATTACTTTTGGGACTTCAGCGATTTCCGGTTTTTCCGCAATCGGACAAAAATCTGCATTGAGAATTCTGCAATGCATTTTAATAGGCCCATGCATTTTAATAGGACTTCAGCTCTTTCAGACATTTCTACAATTTCAATGATTCAACAGTTTCAAGGATTCAACAGTTTCAAGGATTTCAGCAGTTTCAAGATTTCAAGAGTTTCAAGGACTTCAACAGTTTCAAGGACTTCAGCAGTTTCAAGGACTTCAGCAGTTTCAAGGACTTCAGCAGTTTCAAGGACTTCAGTGTAATCATGCAACCTAATAGGGATTTTTCCATGTAAACCAGTATAATGCAACTTAATAGGGATTTTTCCATGTAAACCAATATAATGCAACTTAATAGGGTTTTTTCATGTAAACCAGTATAATGCAACTTAATAGGGTTTTTTTTTCATGTAAACCAGTATAATGCAACTTAATGGGGATTTTTCCATGTAAACCAGTATAATGCAACTTAATAGGGGTTTTTACATGTAAACCAGTATAATGCAACTTAATAGGGGTTTTTTCCATGTAAAACCAGTATAATGCAACTTAATAGGGTTTTTTCCATGTAAACCAGTATAATGCAACTTAATAGGGTTTTTTCCATGTAAACCAGTACAATGCAACTTAATAGGGATTTTTCCATGTAAACCAGTATAATGCAACTTAATAGGGTTTTTTACATGTAAACCAGTATAATGCAACTTAATGGGGATTTTTCCATGTAAACCAGTATTATGCAACTTAATAGGGATTTTTCCATGTAAACCAGTATAATGCAACTTAATAGGGTTTTTTCATGTAAACCAGTATAATGCAACTTAATAGGGTTTTTTTTCATGTAAACCAGTATAATGCAACTTAATGGGGATTTTTCCATGTAAACCAGTATAATGCAACTTAATAGGGGTTTTTACATGTAAACCAGTATAATGCAACTTAATAGGGTTTTTTCCATGTAAACCAGTATAATGCAACTTAATAGGGTTTTTTCCATGTAAACCAGTATAATGCAACTTAATAGGGTTTTTTCCATGTAAACCAGTACAATGCAATAATGCATGTAAACAGTATAATGCAACTTAAGGGTTTTTGGGTAAACCAGTATAATGCAACTTAATGGGGATTTTTCCATGTAAACCAGTATTATGCAACTTAATAGGGATTTTTCCATGTAAACCAGTATAATGCAACTTAATAATGCAACAGTATAATGCAACTTAATAGGGTTTTTTTTACAGTATAATGTAAATTTTTCCATGTAAACCAGTATTATGCAACTTAATGGAACTTAATAGGGTTTTTACATGTAAACCAGTATAATGGAACTTAATAGGGGTTTTTACATGTATAATGGAACTTAATAGGGGTTTTTACATGTAAACCAGTATAATGCAACTTAATAAGGATTTTTACATGTAAACCACTATAATGTAACCTAATAGGGGTTTTTACATGTAAACCAGTATAAAGCAACTTAATAGGGATTTGTACATGTAAACCAGTATAATGCAACCTAATAGGGATTTTTCCATGTAAACCAGTATAATGCAACTTAATAGAGATTTTTCCATGTAAACCAGTATAATGCAACTTAATAGGGATTTTTCCATGTAAACCAGTATAATGCAACCTAATAGGGATTTTTCCATGTAAACCAGTATAATGCAACCTAATAGGGATTTTTCCATGTAAACCAGTATAATGCAACCTAATAGGTTGCATTATACCACCAGACCAAGACCCAAACGAAGACTCAGACCACCACCAGATAATGACCACAGACCAGGTTTCCTTAGTTACAGGAACCAAATTGTTTCAGCGGTGAGGGGATTTTTCAGTTTCAAGGACACTTTCAATACATTCAGTAGTTTCAAGGATTTCAACTGTTTAAGAATTTAACCAGTTTCAAGGATATCAGGAGGTTCAAGGATTTCAGGAGTTTCCACACTTTCAACAGTTTCCAGGTTTAAAAAAAGTTTCAAGGATTTCAGGAGTTTCAATGTTTCAACAGTTTCAAGGATTTCAGGAGTTTAAAGGTTTCAACAATTTCAAGGACTTCAGGAGTTTCAAATATCTATCAAGTATTTTAACAGTTTCAAGGCCTTTTAAAGGATTTCAAGGATTTTTTTTAGCAGATTTCCACATTAGATCTGTTCCGCAGTCAATCGCAATGGCTTCAGCCATTGCAAGTTTCTAGTTAACAGAAGATGACGAAAAGTTCTTATGAGTCAACACAAACTCATCTGCTAACACAGAAGCCTCAGAAATAGATTTAACCTTTTGCTCATTCAAATACACAACCACACGCGCAGGCAGGTTGTTCTTAAAGTCTGTTAAAAGAAACGGGTGTACGACGCGGCCCAGCGCCAGCGGCCGTAACAAATACATCACTGTTTGCATGCCAGTGAGCATTTGATTTCATATGGTTATGTATATAGAGCCGTAATACCTAACCTGACCACCAGTGGCACACCCTTTTGAATAACGATTTATATGCTAAAACTTTCTAGAGCTTCTTCCC